TACTTTCTATCGAAGTGATTTCTTTGTGTCCTTGGGAAAGGCACTTTACACGAATTTTCCTCACTTCACCCAGGTGGGAATGGGTACCCGGCTATAGACAGCGAAGGATCTTGTCAGTTTGTTAGTGTTTGAGCGCTTAATCAGCTGCTTGCACTGTATGCTTCCCAGGAAGCTGAGAATGTTTCGGAGTGTTCTATGGTCTGCTGGGGTAATAATATTATAGTGTAAAGCGCATAGAGCCTACTGTTGAGCGGGGATATGCGCTATACAAATGCTATTCATTATTATTTATTATTTTCTGAGGAGTCCATGTTTTTTAGAATGGAGCAATAAATCTTGAGAGATGCAAAACATTAGAAGGTCAAGATCTATACTCTCAAAACAAAAAGCGCCTTGCGAAATATCACTTCCGGTACTTCCGCAGTGGAGGACAGCAACGCAGTTTTGTTTCGTTTCTCAGTGGAATAACCACAAAGGCCAAAGAAGGACGGGAACTTTTTGTCAAATATATTTTCTAAAATTCAGGATATTAATAAATAAAAAATCAGGCTCCGTCAAAGCGATCTATTTATCGTTTTTGCAAGTACTTGCTAACGTTCAACTTTTTAGCTGTCGTAGTTTGATTCGAAAAGTGATAAATATGAATTTCCAAGTTGCCAAATATATAACAGATCAGGTATAGATTGATTCTCTATTCCACTTTCGTGTTTGTACACTCCAGAATTTCAAAGGTGTGAAACCAGTGCGTACGGCTAGTGAACAAAAACCTCACTGTTTTCAATGGCGTCTTAGAAGACGGACTTTCCTAAGATTAGATCTAACTTCAGGCTCCTCAATAAAACTGTGCACGCTTTGAATGATTCTGAACCAGCATTAATTTTTATCAATTTCGAAAGTTAAGTGGTTCGGAAGTTTAAGGAGGCCCAAGTGACGAGCTCTCACAAATATAATATGTAGAGATAGAGAGAGATGATGAGCGCGAATGAAAGACACAAAAATGATAAACGCATGTCGTCGCGAGCGACTTGGACAGAGAGTCACGCGACGTAAGAATGAGGTCACATGAACTCCCCAGTGAGGTCAGCGGTAAAAGGCGAATAAAATTTAATAGTAACTTTATCATAAAGCTGGAATTTTCGGTTGCTTTCATCGATCCCTTTATGGCGTGTGGAATATGAGCTCCTGTGTGACACCTCTCTTATCCCTTACTTAATGTGTTCATTAGTGACGAGTAACGAGTGGCACGTACGTAGAGCGGCAAATGACTTTCTCTGTATGATTCCTGGTTTAGTGTAAGCTGTGAGTGCTGAGCCCGTGCGATGTTCTCAGCACTGCGTACATGTTTAGCCCTTCCTGAATAATCATTGCCACCAAAGATCTTTGAGTTTCTGTTCCTGATAGAGCCATATTCATTAAACTTTGTGAGCCACTTGCAAAAGCGGACTTGAACAGAGTACTTTTTGTTGTGCCTTGCTTTTTCATTCCTTCTGATTCAGATCTTGCTTTCTGAAACGATCCTGTTTTCAGATAAACCGTCATGGCAAGCACTTTGTCACTCTCTGACTATCCTACGGGACCATTTCATGGGAATTAAAGTAAAGAAGAAATTGAATTAAATTGTCCTCCCTCCCCCTTCAAAGTCAATGTGTTTATTCTAAAAGATGTTCAGGTGGGTTGATAAAATAATATTGATATAATTTCTAAAATGATTTAATATCGTATCAAATCATTCTTTAGGAAGTGCATAAATCATAGCATTTACGGAAAATTCTATTATTTCTAAAGTAGCTCACCCAGCTTAAAAAAATTTTTAAAACGCAAAATTGTTACCCTGATGACGTATGCGAAAACTGAATAAGATTAATTTTTTTTAATGGAGCAAAGATTGCAATTTGAATGGGTTCTATGATTTTTTGTATCGGTCCTGGAATCTAGTGATCACTTACTGCTATGGGTAATTGAAGGAAAAAGACTAGTATGTTTTGGTACAAATATGAAAGATAAACCTTTTTGTTGTCGTTCAGGTTGTTGCTTGATACAGGGTGTGTTTACAAACTGAGGTTATTTTGCTATTAGTGAATGGAGGAATTCCATTGAGGGATCATCACTAAAATGGGTTGGAAGACAGAAATGAAAGCACGTAGTAAAGATGGTATTCATGTACCTAAGAGATTGTGGCACATAAAGGTCACCTTAACCAGAGAGGGGGGGGGGGTGCATGTGTTGGACGGACAGCACACAATCTATATTAGGCCGCTTGAAGAGGTTCGAAATCCTACCTGTTTCCGTCTTTTATCCTCATGTTTTTCTGTTTAGCATAGTTCACAGTCTGAGTCTCCGGGTACGAGAGTTTGGCCAAGGCTAGGGCCGCTGGGGCCGAGATCACCGCAGCTGTCAGTATGTGGTTCGGCGAGGCCTACATAGAAAAAAAGTTCTTTCTTTAAATGTCGTTCTGTTATGTATGTCCCATCGACACAATTCAGATTATATGGGAGGCGGGCTTCTTATCCTGCCTGTCAGGGGCAATTCGGGGTGACAGGCAAACATCACCATGGCAGAAAGACCGAGATACTTACTTTACTCGCGGGGAGACACAGGCGTCTGTGTGCAGCAAGGCGAGTGGCCTCTTGGAGGGACATCCCGTGAGCTCTGAGGGTGTCTGCTACAAAATCACTCCATCGTCGCCTCGGTCTTTCTCTGTCTCTCAATCCAGAATATTTAATGTTGTATGCTCTCAGAGCTGAATGGTTCGAGGGCAACCACATAAGGTGTCCGAACCACTTGACCTTTTGTTTTTCAATGTGTATTAGGATTGGTGTTGCTCCTACGGTGTCCCTTATGAATTCATTTTGTATTTTGTCTCTTCTTGTTTTGTTGACCGCTCTTCTTAAGCATTTCATCTCGCATGTGACCAGTTTCCTCTCTAGAACTTTTGTTAGGGACCATGTCTGGCACTGATACGTGAGTGTTGGAAGGGAATTGGCGTTGATGAGCTTCGCCTTGGTGCTCATGTGGATATGGGGATGTTTCAGGAGAGGGCCGAATAGCTGACTGCGTTGGCTTTCTGGCAAGTAGTCTCTATTTCTCGATCTAATTTTCCATTTTCTGTGAAAATGCTGCCCAAGTATTTGAATTCGCTGCTTTGTTTTAGTTGGGACCCATTGATGTTCATATCCACTTTGTCTGGTCTCCTGCTAATTGTCATGACTTCAGTCTTGCTAATACTGATCTTCATGTCATATTTCTCACAGTTCGCATTTATTTGGTTCATATGCTCCTGTAGCTGGCTCTTGTTGTTCATCATTGCCAAGTCGTCTGCAAACATGAGTTCGTTGAGTGCCTCGAGGTCTGGATTGGCCTCCTTTGTAATCTGGTCCCTGTAGATCTCGAAGAGCAGAGGGGAGAGATTGCAGCCCTGTGTGACTCCGGATGTTACTGGAAACCAGTCTGATGTTCCACTGGTAGTGCGGAGTGCGCTTCTGCTGTTGGCATAGATAGCCCTGATGTTGTCTAGCAGTTGTCCCTTGATGTCGTACTGCTCCAGGATAAGACCGAGATAATCGATACAATTGCCCCCCACCCCACCCCGGAAATAGAGCTTGGGCCTCCTGCATGCGACAACGAAGAGCCTAACTGCTTCACCATAAACACAGGTGCTTACAGAGAGACATAACAGAAATAAGATAAGATAAGATAGATAAGATCATACTTTATTATCCCAGAGGGAATTATTTCTTGGCTATACAGGACTGTAAAAACACATGCAGGTATACTTTAACAATCTAAATTATATATTACTCTCATAAAAATTCAACATGAAAAGAGACGTAAAGCTGACCAAATATAAACATGTCACATCAGATGCATCATTCAACTACATGCAGGAACTTAATTACAAGACCTCCGGAGGCATATACTCAATACGTTGCCTAGCTCATTGATACTGCCATGCTGTTAATCTGTAGGTGTTGCTTATCATTACACGGTGGCAATATAAAATATGTTTTTCTTGTAGGCAACATCCCCGCATGTGGCGTCGGTAGTCTAGTGGTCAGTATACTGGACTCGTAAATCTAATCGTAAGGTTACAGTTTCGGGGGTTCGAGCCGCAGGCACGAAGTCGTCCTTGGGAAAGGCACTTTGCACGAATTTATTCACCTGGCCATACACATCGATAGATCTTGTCATTATGTTAGTTTTAATTGGCTATAAATGGTATCTTGCGCTGTATACTTCCCTGGAAGTTGAGACTGCTTTAGATTGCTATCAGGTCTGAACTTGGGTAATAATATAGATTGTAAAGCGCGTAGAGGTTGCTTTGGAGCGTGAATTTGCGCCATACAAATGCTATCTATTTCTACTAATACAATCCTTACTTCTTTACCATTTTGCTAAGAACCCTTTGGATTCTCAATTCAATCTGACCTTGACCCCTCGGAAAGTAGATAGTTTTTTAAAGTGTTTAATAAAGTGTTACGAGAATCCTACACTTTCCGTTTGGCTGAAAGGATTGCAGTGTTTTACTGTTTAAAGTGATTTACTGAAGTAAACAAAATCTGAACAACTTCTATTGATTTTGTTTTACCAACTGCCTGAATTGCAAGCAGCATCTCTGATCACTCCAACCTCCAAAGCTGTCCTGGTAATCTGGTTTTTTAATTATTTTTTTTACTCTTTTACATTTGTGTATGTTATGTAAAGTGAGATTATCTCTAACAATGTTCTGTTGTCTGCTTTCATTTCCACTTTCTGCTCCCCACCCCCTCACCTCCTTTGCCCCCTCCTGTGGGCTCCTGACTCTTTCTACAGCCTTTCTACTGCTACTCCTTGGCTCCTCCTAACTGCTGTCTTTCTGCCACACCCCTGATCTTCTGGTAGGAAAGTTCTACACCTAGCCTTCTCGGACAAGGGCGAAAAATCTCGGAGGGCCCGTGTGCAAGTTGCGCACGTTAAAGATCCCTTGGTGGTCTAAAATCGATAAGAGTAGGCTTCGGCCGCCACCCGGGCAAAATTCAAAATTTCCTACCAACGAAAAAGTATTAGGTGAGTCCCGCGCGCTCATATGACCTTATGCAGTTGCGAGCGCCGTAAAACCCTATACTAAACAAACAAACAAAAGTGAGATTTTTACTGGTATGTCGTACGAATTGAGTTGGCCAACAGTTTTTTTACATGCCTCGTTGTATCTTGCAACATGACAACATTCTGTTTTTGCGAAAACGTCTGGCAATAATTGTATCGTGTCCAATTTACTATCAGAAAGCGTTTATTTCGCAATAAATGACAGATCCTTGCTTCTTTTTATCAATCATATTGACCATATTGTGTAAAGGTTCTATGCCACTTTTTAAGGAAAAGTTTCCGGTGTGTTTTCATAGTTAGTCTGGTCTTGTACTGCTCCCATCTTAATTGCATGGAAATCATTTATTGAAATTAAGGCATGGCTAACGATGCACACATATCCACTTGGAATAAAAAGACATAACACTTAGAGTGAATACGTTACCCCACACATGATGAACAAAACCATGAGTGAGCCAGAGGTACTTGCAAACCCGGACGACATGACAGAATGAAGCTCCGACTTGGTGAAAGTGTACCTAAGAGATTGTGGCACATAAAGGTCACCTTAACCGGATCGGGGGGGGGGGTGCCTTTGTTGGACGGACAGCACACAATCTATATTAGGCCGCTTGAAGAGGTTCGAAATCCTACCTGTTTCCGTCTTTTATCCTCATGTTTTTCTGTTTTTCATAGTTCACAGTCTGAGTCTCCGGGTACGAGAGTTTGGCCAAGGCTAGGGCCGCTGGGGCCGAGATCACCGCAGCTGTCAGTATGTGGTTCGGCGAGGCCTACATAGAAAAAAAGTTCTTTCTTTAAATGTCGTTCTGTTATGTATGTCCCATCGACACAATTCAGATTATATTGGGAGGCGGGCTTCTTATCCTGCCTGTCAGGGGCAATTCGAAGTGAGAGGCAAACACCATAGCACAAAGACCGAAATAATCGATACAATTG